ACTTGCTTTGACTAGTAGGCCTAGGTTTACAATGCTTTGGTTTTAACTATTATGCCTATATTGACAGCTATTCTATCAATTAATAAAACGTATGTCATATTTTTACACGTAAGCTGGACGATTCAACGACGAGCTTTTAATTTTAAGTATATGAATTAATTATGAAAGTCACGATGGTTAATGACTGAATTTTTTAATGGTTTTGGTTTATTACGACATCCATTAATTTGTCCATTAAATTTGTCATCCAAACGTGTATTTTAGCTTAATTTCATAGTGGTTCAATTGGTACTACTGGATTTTCAATATGTTTCATATTCTGTTATTTTCCTATAATACTGGCATTTATATTTAAGTTCAAAATCATAAACATTTAATTGGACGTTGTACAGTTAAATACAAAAAGAAACACTTTTTGATGATTTTTGAATTGCCTTGTAAAAGTGTTGAACAAGTGGAATTGGTAACAAAAACCATAACAATTACTGTATCTTTATTGACACTGACATTTTTAAATACGTCTGTGTACGATTATTTTGTTGTACAAGGTTGGCAATGCTCCGTGCAGTGGGCGTGGCCGGGTTAGCGACTTCCAGAGTTAGCGAATTCCGACGCGGGACAAAATCGAGTTAGCGGGTTCCGGAGTTAGCCAATTCCTTAATGGGACGGTTAGCCAGTTCCGACACACGACCGAGTTCCAGAGTTAGCCAATTCCTACGTCTCGGCAGAAGTACAATTGACCATATATTCATAATGAGGCAAACCTTAGAAAAATGTTCCGAGTTTGACATTGACTTGCACACTTTATTTATTGATTAGGCCTATAGTCAGGCCTTTGATAGCATAAACAGAGAAAGACTCAAACTGATGCTATTAAAGATGGGTGTCCCAAAGAAAATCGTAAGCCTTGCTCAAATCAGCATGGAAAACTCAAAAGGAAAAGTTTTAGTCGGGGGAGTGAAAAGCAATGTAATGAGTTTGAGATAACAACAGGAGTTAGGCAAGGAAATGCCCTGTCCGCTGTTTTTCGGCAGAAGTACAATTGACCATATATTCATAATGAGGCAAACCTTAGAAAAATGTTCCGAGTTTGACATTGACTTGCACACTTTATTTATTGATTAGGCCTATAGTCAGGCCTTTGATAGCATAAACAGAGAAAGACTCAAACTGATGCTATTAAAGATGGGTGTCCCAAAGAAAATCGTAAGCCTTGCTCAAATCAGCATGGAAAACTCAAAAGGAAAAGTTTTAGTCGGGGGAGTGAAAAGCAATGTAATGAGTTTGAGATAACAACAGGAGTTAGGCAAGGAAATGCCCTGTCCGCTGTTTTGTTTAACCTGACTTTGCATTCAGCTATTTGTGAAGTAGGTATTGAAGGAAGTGTTTTTCATAGGATGAGACTATTTGGAGCATATGCGGATGACATTGTCATCTCAGCTAGAAAAATAAATGTGCTGAAGGAGACATTTGTGAAACTAAATGAAGATACCTAAAAGGTGGGACTGTGCATAAACGAAGGTAGGCCTAAAACAAAATATTTAAAAATATCACGGTCAGAAGAGAGGCGAAGAGCATGCCCATTGGAAATATGAAATTTCAAAATGTAACAGAGTTGACATATCTTGGGTCATCCATAAATAATGAAAACAAAATAAGCAGTGAAATCCAAAACCGGATAATGAGTGGTACCAGGGTCTATTTTGCTCACCAGAAATTTCTAAAATCTAGGTTGTTAAGCAGACAAAATAAATGAAATTTGTATAAAACCTTAATTAGACCTGTTGTAACCTATGCGGCAGAAACATGGACATTGCTAAGCTCCGATGCTAATGCCCTAAGAGTTTTTGAAAGAAGAATATTAAGACAAATCTTTGGTGCGGTAAAAGAAGGGGAGCAAAAGAGAATAAGAAATAATAAGGAGCTGGATGATCTAATCCATGGAGAGGATGATGATAAAATCAATGAGGCTAAGATGGTTAGGTCATGTAGTGAGAATGGGTAATGAAAGAATGCCTCTAAAATTACTGGATGGTCAAATCTACAGAACAGGAAAGAGAGGCCGTCCAAGGAGAAGATGGCTGCAGGATGTTGAGAATTCCGAGAATTGGGAATTGGAGACAGAGAGCAAGAAATAGATAAGATTGGAGACAAATTGTGATGGAGGCCAAGGCTCATCGTGGGCTGTAGGGCCAGAGGGTAAGGTAAGGTATCTACAATATTAAAACGAAACAGGGTTTTTTTATTTCACGGCTCTGAATCAACCACATGACGGATTTTAATGATTTTTGTGTTGAAAGAAAAATAATTTTGAGAACTAGGGAATGTCAAAGCCATAATTTTAGTTTAGGGTTTCAGTTTTTTAGAAATTAAGTTTTAATTTTTAAAAAGTCTAGCAGCCGACGCTAGCAATTTAAAGTATTTTCAATGCTGGTTTAACTAACAGCTGGTTTATAACTGTCATTGAAATGTTTACGAGTTGTTTGTTTACAAAAATATTGTTCGTTGGTGTTTGCTTACATACTATTTCACTTTAAAATGTAGGTCGTTTTCCTTACCGTGAAGGATCTGCGTTATCAGGAAATGTGTTATATTGAACTAAACATCTCAAACACTTGCGTTAAATCAAGTTTTGTCGTAAATTCAATCTGTGTAAGTATTTAGTTTATGCATTGCAAATTTCAACTCATATTTGGGAAATATTTTTTCAGCAGTTTATCGCTTAATTGTTTAAGATATAAGTGGTTTACGTGTTGATACTTCTTTTTCTGTATGTTTGAATGTGAGTATGTAGGCATACTAAAATTTTGGTTAGTAATGAAAGCGTCAATCGGTGTAGTAGGTCTCTATAAAACTGTTAAATAAACTGCAGGGTGCAGCAGAAACCAAAGTCGACTCATACCATACCAACCATCCCCGTAGTACTGATGATTCAGAAACTTGGGCACTGACCAAATAACCGAAAAACCTTAATGATGGGTTAGATAATAAAGTGCAGAGAAAATATACAGACCAGTTCAAGGTAACGGCCCGGAGGTCGAAATAAAAAAGAACAGAGAGCTAAGAGAAATGTGTTAACACCCAAATACAGGGGTGCTTTACAGAAGTAATAGGCTTGGATGGGCAGGCTGTGCATAAACTTTTAAAAAGTATATTCCAAGGAGTAACACACGATAGACGGGAAATATCAAGTTATGAAATGCATCCTCAGACTGGGATCTAAATTTTGAAGAGGCAGGTGATAGAAGAGAATCCTCATAAAAGTTTCAGTGGTCACGGAGGTAAGATAAGGTACGGTAAGTACATAAATAGTACAGTATGCAATTGGAGGTGGCATGTAGCTACTCTACTCAAAACCAGTGTGAATCGGTCGCCAATCTCACTTCAAGATTTTTCAAATCGACACAAATGCTGTTTTATGGTAAAATTATCGGATTTAAAATACAAATCGCCATATTTTAGGTCTATATTCGAATGGAATAAATAGGTGGTCACGTTACATTTGTTTATAAGGTGATCTTCCCCATTAGAACTGCCAGAATTTGTGTCTATGCGTGTAAACTAGTTGTTCTGAAATTATTCTGTTTTAGTTGACAACTTGATTACCGTACGTAGGACGGGCTACCAGCTCGTTATTATTTATTATGGTTGTAACTAGACGTCTGTATAGTCCGTGGCTTGGTAATCAAATAACAGTATTTATATAGGATAGGCTACTGTTATCAACATTTGAAATTACCGAATTATTTCCAAATTACTGTTTCACAAAATGCAGATTCCATTTTCAGCCGAACCATTAAAATGAGGATTTGCCGAACAATTATTAATATTACAGAATAGTGTTTAATGATATACAACTTTTCCCATTTCATAAATTATATGTTAGTTTTGCTATGGTCAAAGGTCCAAATCCAAATGTTCTTTTCTTTTGGTCTGTACTGTATATAGTAATTTGCTAGAATCATTGTCTTTATATAAAGTCAATGCTAGAATACTCTAGATGGTTTGTTAAGACCATAAGCAAGCATTTTTTAAATCGTTTCCCTGTTTAACCAACTATTCCAAAAAGTAAAAAATAACATGGTGCAACACAAATAAACAACCGATTACCTACCTATAACCTACACTTTACTTTCCTAATTTAACCTTACTTCAAAACACTTAGCCTAATGTAGTCACGAATACTCATAAACCCCGACCTACCTTCCCCACATGCCTAAATTGGATCAGTGTTCAATCTGCGTTTTATTAATAAGTGTAATAACTTACTGTACCGTCGATGTAGTTCAACTTATAACCTGTGAGGTATTATCGGATTAAATATCGATTTCGATGCAGTTCGATATATCGCTTACTAAATCCTTATTTCTAATCAGCTGGCAACACAAATAGGTGCCCAAGAAAGTAGTCACCGGTCCATATAACTCCGCTCCTTGTTTCCTGACGTGCGATATGCTCCGCGCATTAAGCAAGTAGTTCCGTATATTTTCGCAATTTGCAGTGAATTCCGCGCCTTAAAAAATGTTTTAACGGTATTTTCATGTTTATTAAGATTGTAGGAATGGTTTCAAAGTTTAAAAGAAAAGTCTAGAAAGTTCAGAAATACCTTATGATTCTCTTTTTTTACATTTTTCTTCTTAATTCATAAAACTGTCATGGCTACTTTAGTCCCATAAGCCTAATGTAAAAAATTGGAAATTTTAAGTTGGTTTTAAATTGCATTAGCATTATCTAATTTAAATTTGTTTGTTTACCAACGATCTCACTATTAGTCTAAGTAATCTTGTTAAGTTTGGCAGAAATGTGTTCAGCTGTTATTGAGTGATGGTGTTATATTGTTTTCAATTAAGTTGATCCCAAAGAGCTTCGCTCAATAAGCCTAGGCCTACGTAGCTTCTTCCCAATGGATGAAAATGTAATAAAAAATTATGCTGAATTCTGATGAGAAAGAAACATGAAAGAAGTCATATATAAACTATTTTAGTCAGACTAATCCATACCTGTTCAGGCAGGTCTTCAGTGAAACAGTCCGAAGAAAAGTTGTCTTGATCATGTTCTTGAGCAGTCAATGATAGATGCAAATATTTGAATAGCTTTTCATAAATCTTTTTTTGCTCCTCTAATGTACACTTTCCCTGTGAAAATTTTATTTCCAAATCCATCAAATGTTAAAATTTCCAACAACAAATTTTAATTACTCGTAGCTTAAAATAATAGAAAAAATTCTACTCACAACAACTAACTTAACACGTTGACCGCGCGTGCCGACTTTAGTCGGCGTCGCCAGCGCTCCCAGGTGGCGCGCGCCGACTAAAGTCGGCACCAGACCAACAGAAATATATTGAGTCAGTGTGAGCTTAGCCTCAGACGGAGACGTTATAATTGTTGCTAGCCTACGAGCTTAGAATGCGAGCTTTACTTTGGTGTAGGTTGGTACTAAAATTTCCCGTAAAGTCCTGTCTGGCAATGCTTTTGTCCCGGTTTCGGGGATTTTTTCTCTTCAACCCACATTACAAAGACACTGGATACGGATCCGTGCAGTGCTGCTACCTTTGGGTGTTTCAGTGAACTACATCCACTCTCGGGGTAACGCAGCACAGTCACCACTGCTCTTTTGAGATTCGTCAGACTGAAATATTTGAATGCCAATTGCGTTCGCTGATTCGGTTGCGCGCCGGGGCTCCGCCCGCCACTGGGGAGCGCCTGTAAAGTCGGCGCGCGCAGTCAACGTGTTAACAATATTAAATATTTAAAGAATGATAATAGTTTGTATAGGCTACCAATTTCAAGGCGCTGCCAGAAAATTTTACAGGGGGCGGGAGCAACTGGACTTACTCCTGGGGTCTGCAGATCTACAGAATTCTTTAGTCGGGCTGGGCCAACAGAAAGTCCAGGAAATCTTTTGGATGATACAAAATTTCCGGACCAAGCTCAGGTCGGGTCATTTCTAATTGTTGCATGCGTGCGGCACTATTTTCAAGCCGAGCTTTAAGTCTCCTGATCACAGAAAGCTTCCAAGAAGGTTGTGTGATATTTGGCTGCGAGCCCAGTTAATTTTCACAATTTTAGCCTACTGCGAACGAATGTGAAAATAAACTTTTGAATGGTAGAGGGGGAGGCAACGGCATCCTCCTGCCCCTCTGTGGTGGTGTCCATTACTAGTTTATAAATTATGTTTTTAGGAAAAAGCATTTAGCTTGGATTAAATAAATATATAGGATGGAGAGGACACAGCTAACTCACCTGATGTGTAACTAAATAATTATGTGTTCTTTGACTCGTCTGCAACCTTTCATTAGGTGAGTTAGCTGTGTCCTCTCCATCCTATATATTTATTTAATCCTAGTTTATAAATTAGTAATAATTTTACTAATTGTATTTAAACCTTTCTATTTTCTATCACATATGGTGTCTATAGGAAACATGAAATAATAAAATGTTAATCACAATATCAGATGATAATACAGTATGTATAGGCCTATATCAAGTTATTTATTTAGTTAAAACGAGGTAGGCCTATCACTTTCATAACTCTGGTGATAATCAGAAACAGTAATTAGCCTGGGTAAAACCCTATTAGAAACATAAGTTTTATAGAACTTAGTAACTCAGCATATTTTATGGGCTCAATGCCTTGAGCCAAAACTACCATTGGTAGAACAGCTCCATGTTGGCTCTTATCACTGGCTGGGCGCGATTTTCTGCACATGTCTTGCAATTTTCTACTAGTTCTTTGATTTGTTGAGAAAGACGAGGCCACCACACAGTCAATTTTGCAAAAGATCTACATTTTGTTATGCCTTGATGTCCTTCATGAATACTTCTTAGTACATTAGCTCTTAGAGAATTTGGTATTATAATACGACTTCCAAAGAGAAGTATACCATTTTGCTCACTTATATCTTCTCTATGATACCAGTAGGGCAATACATCCTCTGGAATCTTAGATTTTTCTGGCCAACCTTTCACACAATACTGTGACACATGTTTTAGAGTTTCATCTTTCATAGTTTTTTTGATTTATTTCTCGCAACCTTTCATCCGAAACTGATGGTAGAGTAGTGTCAATGTTTTGTATATAAGCAAGGATTTCCTCTGTAAGTTCCCATTCCTCTTCAGAGTTCTCTGTGTCTCGAGACAGTGAATCAGCCAAAATCAACTGTTTACCGGGCGTGTAAGTAATGTCATACGTATATCTCATCAGTCGGAGTCGTATTCTCTGAAGCCTGGGAGTAATATTGTCCAAGTCTTTTATCTTGAATATGGAGAGCAAGGGCTTATGGTCTGTCTCAATATGCAAATCCAACCCTAAAATGAGGTGTTCAAACCGTTCACACCCCTAAGCAATCGCTAGAGCTTCTTTTTCTATTTGAGCCCAATTGCGTTCGGCTGATGACAAACTTCTCGAAGCATAGGCCACCGGACGTTTAGTTCCATCTTCTTGAAGTTGAAGTAGTGCAACTCCAATACCGTATGACGAGGAATCCGCTGAGAGGAAGGTTTCTTTAGAAATGCTGTATAAAGCGAGACACGGTTCGGACATCAATGACAGTTTAATCTTTTCCTAAGCTTGGTCTTGATCAGGCCCCCAAACAAATTCTGTATTTCTTTGCAGTAAAGCATGTAGTGGATGAACTATGGTCGACAAACTACGAATAAACTTGGCTACGTAATTGACAACACCTAGAATTCTCCTTAGTTCTTTAACATTAGTTGGCGTCTTTTTTGGATAGCCTCAACACGAGAGGGATCTGGCTTAATACCATTTTTAGTTACAAGGTGGCCTAGTAAACTGATACTGTCATGCCTGAACACACATTTTGATCTATTAAGTGTCCAGCCCTTTTCCTGGAGCCTACACAAAACACGATGTAAATTTTTGTCATGTTCTTCCATATCTTTCCCGTATATAGTTATGTCATCGAAATGGCAAACAACACCTTGAAGGCCTTCAAGTGATTCAGACATTTGACGCTGGAATACTTCTGAACCAGTGGAAATCCCGAAAGGAAGTCATAAAAATCTGAACCTTCCAAAAGGTGTGATGAAAGTAGTCAAATATGAAGCTTCTTCTGTTATGGGTATTTGCCAATAACCCGAGCTAGCATCTAGTTTCGAGAACACCTTAGCACCATCTAATTGTCCCAGAGTGTAGTCTACAGAGGGCACAGGATATAGTTCTCGTTTAACACTCTCATTAAGTTTAGTGAAATCTACGCAAAGTCTTATTGAATTGTCCTTTTTAGGGACAATGACAAGAGGTGAACACCACTAACACCAGTCAGTCGGAGTGTCTACTCTCACGATAACACCTTTATCCAACATTTTGCGAATTGTTGATAATTTATTTTTCTCTATTGTTTAGGTGAAGTGGTAGAACATTATGGCTATGGTGGATGTGTAATACAGTAGACCCCCTCTTAACCGACTCTAATGGGCCGGACCTAGGTCGGATAACGCAAAAGGTCGGATAAAACGGGCAATCCCTAAAATCATAACATGATGAAGTGCTATTCATTTGGAATTATATAATCATTATTTTGAAGTCATACTAGCATTATTTATAAAATAAACTACTCTTATCTCCTTTTTCATATTGGTAGAAAAGTCACAAATAAACACAAAACACGGTTAAGTCAAATAGGCCTACTTTCAGTGGAATATATTATAATACTAGGCAAGAGTCAATAAAATTCCTATTTTAATAACTTTAGTACTGCAATGTATTAATTGATGTTTTCCAAATACATTGTAATACAGTACAGAACCTTTTGTTGACATTAGATACAAGCGACCATTTTGTTACAAGACAGGACGTTTATTTATAGAAAGCTCACTGGAGTCTCGAGGCACAAAAACTATCTTGACCTTGGATTGGTTAACCCCCCATCCCTACAAGTTGCGTTGTTTGTTTACTCCGGCGATAAGATAATCAGTTCTCAAAATCGTGACGCACTTTATGATGTTATAAATTTGCCGCGCAGATAAGTTTAACAAATCAGATCAGATGTGCTCGAATACAGATATAGCTACGAACGATGATGACAAACTGACAATAGGCTATGCTATATTTTTTGTGATCAACAAAAAATAACTTATTGTTAGTCATATCCTGTGGAGATAAGCGTATGGTTCAGTTCTCATCGCCCAGCGTGGAAGCGGAAATGCCGAGATTCCTAGAAAGCGGCGGTTAAACCGAGTTGCTCTCAAAGCAAGGTCGGTTAAAACAAACTGCATTATTTTACGATCGAAGACGGATAATCCGAGTATCGGTTAATACGAGGTCTGTTAAGAGGGGGTCTACTGTACTATTATAGAATACTGTAAATGTAAAAAAACAAATTTGATCGCAAAGCTTGAGTATAACTACAATAAGCTTTTTATACTTATATTCCAACCCTGTACGAAGGACGGGTACTCTGCTAGTAAATAGAATATAATCAATAAACAAACAACAATATATATAAATAATCCTTTTTTTATTAAATTCATTTGAATTCTCAAAATTTTGTTTTAAGTTTTAAGCAATAAATACCTCAAAGGTACATAGAGTAGGCCTACCGTGGTATCAACTTGGTTAGGTAACTTACAATATTTAATATTTTGATGAAGTTTATTAATAAATAAATATAGGCTAATATATTATTATTTAGTTACCTTTCTGTGTTACAAAAATGCTTTAAACTGATTAATTTTAGTTTTTAACAAAGTGAACATACTTGAAATCTTATGTTTTAGTATATCTTTTAATAAGCTAAAGAAAAATATATAAAAATAATTTTATAAAATGAAGCAATAAAAAAGCCACAAGTTTTATTGGTTATTCAGATAGAACATTTTGTGTAGATTAAATTAAAAGAATATATATATTTGATTATCATTCTGCCTTTTGGAGATATAATTTTTTTCGAAAAACCATTTTCGCCCCCCAAAAAAATAATTGCAAAAATTCATTTTATTTTTTTATTTAATAATTGAATGTAGCTAGAGTAATGCCATATTTTTCCCTATATGCAGCATAGTTAACTTGATAATACTGATTTTTTTCATAAGATTTAAACGATAAATGCCTAAGTTACAGCTTTTTAAAATTTTACATTATTCGCCGTTCTAAGTCTCGGAGGGAGCGAAAACGTCCATTTTTCCAAAAGTTTAAAATGCTATAAATCATAAACCGTTTGAGATAAAGAGTTGAAATTTGGAATATTTTAATATCTTAGTAGGAAGATCATAACCTCCAAGTTTCATCAAAATCTGAGAAGGTGGGTGACATGGCCTGGATGATTTGAAGTGGAATGACCCACGGCTGACCAATGTACCAGTTAGTCATGTCCTCCAGCCAGAAAACTGATTTTAAAACTAAAAAAAAAATCATGTATAGACGGTCTCAAATTTTTAAATTAAAATAGACAGTAGGCTAAATAACTTTAAAAAGTGTTGTTGCAATATTACAAAATAAACTAATGATTTCCTTGTAGACTATGAGAAAAACTTACCTGAACAAAATCGTAACGATTTCCATCTGTAAGGCCAAGTTCTGCAAGTCTGTGAGCAAGGTCTGAAACAGCAATAAAAGTTTCAGTTCCAGTTCTCTAATTAAGGAAATAGCACATTTCCATTCAACTGAGCTTGACAAAAATCATTGATTTTTAATCTATTAAAAGCTGATCCAAAAAAAGAAGCTGTTTAGCTCAATAGGAGCACATAATGTAGCCTAAGTATTGTATTGGTAAGGTATCATTTTATTGTTCAACCATTGAATTTCAAATAAAATTGTAAAACCATGCTAGGCCTATAGGCTAAAAACTTTATAAAGAGGGTTAACCCTAGATGGGTATCGCACATAAGTTCGATGTAGGATGAGTTCTTTTTAGCGTCTCACCCCCCCAACAGATGCTACCCTCCTTCCAGCAGTCATTTACCTTGTGAATGCTGCCTTGGTTGGGTCGTAGTGTGTTTCTTTATGCCCTTGCTAGTATGTTTCTAGGAACGCATAAGTAATACTTACGTATCAATACCCTGTGTGTGTAGTAAAATGGCCGGCTTTTGTATAGTAAAATGGTCAGCTTGTGTAAAGTAAAATGGCCGGCTTGTCATAATAAAACGTTCGGCAGGACATCAAATTTACGTAATGAAGCGTCACACTGTATGACGATACCTTACTATACAATCCCTATGCACGTCAAATTTACGAATTGATACCATTAGCATCATGCTGTATGACGATGTCTTTCTAGGGTTAATATACTATAATGATGTAAGATTATTTTCAGTGTGGTGAAAAGTATAGTAGTATAGTTCACTAGTCATCACAACTCACAGACCTATTCCATTTATTGATTGTCATTTCTGTACTTGTCTTCATGTCACTCGTAAACCACTATCTTGCACAAAAAGGGTTACATTCAGGCACCAATAGTGAAATGTAGGCTACTTACTTATAGCTTACAGTAGGCATAGGCTACTTACAATCACCTGTTATTTCGGCTGCACTTTACTTTAGGTCCTACACTCATTCCATTGAAAATATCGATTGATTATTTCATTCGATATAGGCCTATCATTTGGTTAGTTAGGTTAAGGTTCTTAACCTAACAATATATTGAATGAAACAATCGAACAATCAATATTTTCATTCGAATCAGTGTAGGACCTTAAGTAAAGTGCAGCCTGATTAAATGTAGACCTTTAGGCCTACTTTTATTGATTAGGCCTACATTATAAATTAATTTACTTCCAAACAAACAAGTGATCTTAATATGTTCACTATAGTTTGGAAAAATATTATGAATCCTATGAAAGGGTTTTAACTTATTTCCAGTAGACCTTAAATGGGTCATTCCTTGTATTTATGGTGTTTAGTTAAGTTAGACAAGTAAAGTAAGTTAGCCAAAGCGGAATCAAAACTTTGACTCAGGAATAGATTTTTGAAAAAAGTTTCCTCAGAAATACCTAAAAAAGCAGCTTATCTATTGAGAGACTACAATACTTTACATTTCCTTTGAACTTTAGGCCTAAGTTAATTATAGGCTAAGTTAGCCAAGAATAAATAACTTTTACCGTAGTCTAGAGTAAGTCCAATTTGATTAAGAAAATGAGATTTGTAATCTTCTGAAAATAATGATACCAGAACTATAAGAATTCTTTTCCGTTCATCAGGGTTTGAACTTAATCCTTCCATTAGTTCATCTTCTGTTCTTGGAAAATCATCAGTTAACATGCCCCTCTCTTCTAAATGCAAAAGAATCTGGTTGAATAATATCTCCTTCTTCATATTATCTAAAACAAATTATGCTACAACAGAAAGAAATCAGGGAACCCTAGAATGGTGTCTGCAAGAGGCACATCGTGTTTGATCCCTGTCACATAATTAACTTAGCTGATAAAAGTTTAAACATTTGAGTGATTTATACTGCTTCCCTTAGAAGTGTTTGTGATTCTTTTATTCGAATTGCTACTAACATACCAAAGCATACAATAAAACTGATTACAAAAATGAGAGGAACGCTTAAATGTTACCAAGTTAAGAGGAAAAATTCAACAGCTTAGGATTGGATGAAGACTTTTAGCAAAACTTGAACATTTTCTTAACTGGGCGGGCTACCCTACTAGATCTAACCTAATAACTTACTTATTCTCTCGGTGGTTAGAGCACAGTCTAACAATAAATAATTTATAATAATTTAAACCACAATTAATTATTGTGGTTAGGGCCTGATTGATTAACAAATCAACACCTCGGCACCTCGGTTGGTGGGTGGAATAAAGTATTTTGTATTTTAAAAGAATAAAAGTTTTGTTTAGGTTTCATTAATTACAAACAACTTTAATCTAAAAAAAGGCGCGCGAGCCACGATTATCAGTGCTACCACTGCCACTGCCAGTCCAAATCAAGAATAAGTTACTCTTGTGAAATTAACATAGCTTAAATATGTGAACATACTGTATATAGCCATAGATTAAAGGAGTGGACTCACCTCCTCCTTTGGATCACTCCTTTAGATGGCCGTGGTAGACTAATCCTTAAATCTAAAATATAATAGTGCAGTAAAAATAAGCGAAAAATTCCATAAACCTAAAAAAATTTGCACAAGCGGGGAATTCGGTACAGATGTTGATGTTGTGTGTGCCTTCCTTAAGCCGGGTTTACACTATGTAGCAAAAACTGCTATATAACTTTTGCTATATAACATTGCTATATAACTTTTAAGATACAAAAAAGTTACAGACAATTTTGTGATTCAGGTGCCCGTGCTATATGTTATATGTAGCACAACCTCATTTACATTATGTATCGAAAATGTCGAGCCGAAGAGACATTGTTCGAGGCAGCTATCACGGTGATCGGAAGTCAGAAGCGGAAGCGATCCATAATTAAAACGCGAAATAAGACGATAGATAAGAAGATGGTAGATTCATTCAAAAATGTTTTACGTATGACCACAACGCCGGTTGTCCACGGAACAGTTCAATTAAAGTTTATATGTAATAGCATCCCGATCCCACGCACTGTCGCTTTACAGTCTTTCCATTGTAAACAAAGATCCCCGAGCAAAAACGTCCGTACACAGGAGGCTACAACTGTGAACTTTTGTTAACTGTTGACACTAAATGCTACATATAGCAGATGCTAGACGAAAAATATTTGTATAACATTGCTACATATAGCAATGTTAGATGTAGCATGCATTTCTTTTGATCTTTACCGACTCCCGATGGATAGCACAATTTTTGCTATATATAGCAGAATCTGCTACATATAGCAGTGTTATATAGCACTTTTGAAAAGTGACTTTTTCTACTTCTAGCAAATGTTATATAACATTGCTAGATGTTACACAAATCTGCTATATAGCAGGTTTTGCTACATAGTGTAAACCCGGCTTTATGAACATACTAAAAGTTCCCTAAAATTGAAGCTGTGCTACGGCCGCCATATTGGAAAATGGCGGCATATTTCTGTATTTTTGGCTACAGTGACTTTATTGTTATAGATACGGGAATAATCTAAGCTAGTGGTCGTCCAGTGGTCGAAAACTTGACCAAGAACATGTATCGTAGGCTACACGTATTGAGTATTGGATACTGAGGTAGACTTCCCATCTATATGAACCAGCTGTCACAATTTTTTATTATTTAAAAACATGTAGTTGTTTGATCCATTCACCAAAAGTGTCTTAAATTTTGTTTTCTACATTATTTTTTGTTGCTGACATGGTATTGGGTCATAACCGTTGCTATATCTCATTCAAACGGATTGACTTGGTAAAAATCATCGTGTATTCGACAGAAATTTAGATCAGCGCAGTCCGTTGGTGGCTCACATCAACTACGACGAATTTAATTTTTAAAAAACTGGTGACAACTTTAACATGGGGATGGAATGAAAAGGTATAGGCATAGATAAAACCATAGACTAACCAACACAAGTAGACTTCTCATCCCATTGTAAATTTTGAAGCTCGTTTTTCATGTCTAGTTCATGTACGCCACACTAAGCGCTAGTGTCGACGAAATTTTGTTTCCATTATTTTAGGGGTAATTTCTTGATTTGTGCTTTACTGTTTGGTTAAATAACTAGGGGACAATTTATTGTTTATGATTAGATCGTATTATTTGGTAAAACGAGGTTTTAAATTACTGTATTGACGGGAAACAAATTGTAAACAAAACACGACCTCTACATAAACCGTACAGAACTAACAATAAAATTGTCTTCTAAACATACTCCCTTAGTAGATTTCTCATCCTAATGGAACAGCTGAAGACAATTTTATTGTTAGTTCTGTACGGTTTATGTAGAGGTCGTGTTTTGTTTACAATTTTTTTCCCGTCAATACAGTCATTTAAAACCTCGTTTTACCAAATAATACGATCTAATCATGAACAATAACTTGTCCCCTAGTTAAACAGTAAAGCACAAATCAAGAAATTAACCCTAAAATAATAGAAACAAAGTTTCGTCGACACTAGCGCCTTTGTGTCACGTACATGAACTAGACACGAAAGACGTGCTTCAAAATTTACAATGGGATGAGAAGTCTACTTGTGTTGGTTAGTCTATGGTATAGGATTCTCTATTTTCACCCCACCCTGTAAATAAAACATGTGATTGGAATTTCTTCCATTTATTTTGATTTTCTGTTTATATTTCGTTGTTATTTCGTCACCAGCATGGCAACCCATAAAGCCAAAGTAAAATTTTTTAAATTTCAAATTAATTTTTTGTGCTTATATTTGAGCCTTTTAAAGAGATTCTGCACTTCTACAGGAAAATATCTTTCTAAAGGTATGCGTAGATTTTCCCTGCGGGGCACACGAGCTGAGAAAAAAGTTTTAAAGAAACATGCTTGCCTATTAATATATAGATATACAAAATGTAGTCCATATAAAAATACACATTTTTTGTATTTATCATTTTTTTCTCTAAGCCCAAAGCTGTTACCCACGGGCTTCACCCTGTTTGACATCATAAGTAAGTATTAATAAAACCATAGACTAACCAACACAAGTAAAAAGACTAACCAACACAAGTAAAAAGACTAACCAACACAAGTAAAAAGACTAACTAAGGGAGTATGTTTGATCTATTATAAAACCATATTGATTGGTTAAGTTAATAATAACCTGAAATACACAAAATACAGTAAAAGAAACAAATAATCACACCTGATTTTAATAAGGTAATAAATAGAAAGAATAACAAAGAGATAAGTACAGCTGAGGTATTTTTAACATTATGAAAAGTTCCCTTTAGAAAGGAATTACGACCTTAAAGGACAATTTATGAAATAATGGATAATTTGGCGCAAGGTTTCTCGTCATGACGAACATTTTAAGTATATGGTTTATGGGGGTGTGACTTGTAGTTTTCGCAAAAGTTCATGGGTACTTTTGGCTTTATATATAGATTTAGTTTTTTTTATTTATCAAAAATAGGTGAAATCCATGGAAATTGACGGTTACTTTTAGGTTTACGACAATTCATCCCATTTATTTAAATATTGTGAAACTATAAAATCTTAAAATTTAACTTTAGGCTATTTTTAATGAGTAAAACAACTCCGCCACAGCCAACCTGTAGACTCAGCAAATTTCCATTTGTCTTATTGGATGTTTTATCAAATGTATATAAATAAAAATTAGGTTAAACATGTATACCTAGGTTTGCTGCTACAAGGTAGTGTGCTTTTTTAGTAAAATATCAATAACTTAGTATAAAATATTAATAAACAAATTTTACAAGTTTGATCATAATCCTATACTCTAATACGAGCAATGTTTGCTTTATGTATGTATGTATGCTTGCACCAAGAGATCTCGAAAACGGCTCCGACGATTTTCTTCAAATGTTGTAAAAAGTTTATTCCTGGCCTAAAAACGAGTTTACTGCAGTTAGAACTGCCAACAAAAATCTAATTACGTAGAAAAATTAAACTGAAAGTCAAATTTTTTTAACATTAGTCTTATGGGTTGCTAAGTAACCATCTTGGTTGAATGAAATAATAAGGAAAAAAACAAAAGACTACATACTTAATCACAAATAACTAAACCATTGGGCTTAAAGAAAGATTATAAATACAAAAGAAAATGTGTACTGTACTTTTAGATGGACTACATTTTGTATATTTATATTTTATTCCCGTATCTCTAACAAAAGTCACATAGCAAAAAATTCAGAAATAGGCCCTATGCCGCCATTTTCCAATATGGCGGACGTAGCACAGCTTCAATTTTAGGGAACTTTTAGTATGTTCAAAAGGAAGGTACACCCAACAACACACTGTACCAAATTCCCCGCTTGTGCTAATTTTTGTTGGGATCAAAACATATTTTTATTGTAGGCCTACTATAACTCAAACTCAGGTTGCTTTACCCCAAATTACCACCATGGTTATAATACAGTACCACTATCCACTTAGTTCTTTTTTTTTATTGTTTTGGACTTCGCAAGGTCGGTAACTGATTTCAAGTTTTATTCATTATTCTGCCTCCTGAAATGTTATTCAAAGTATTACCTAGGTTACGTACAGTTAAACAGTCAAACAGTTCTGAATCCAGTCACTAAAGGACGATGCGCATTTCAGAGCTTTAAAGCCCTATCTTCAGGTCCGTGGATACATTTATTAATTCATCTTGCAGTTTCGTCAAAATTTTTAAACAATAAAAACACATTGAGTCGGGATCTATAGCCGACCGGCACATGTACCTGTATAAATGTTGAATTATGTGTTAGTGTTATGTGTTTTTATTGTTTAAAAATTTTGACGAATCTGCAAGATGAATTAATAAATGTATCCACGGACCTGAAGATAGGGCTATAAAGCTCTGAAATGCGCATCGGCCTTTAGTGACTGGATTCAGAACTGTTTGACTGTATAAGGTACGTAGCCTAGATAATACTTCAAGTTTAAATTGTAAATTGATTTTGAATTTTGTAACTAATTAATTTAATCTATTATATAAGAGGTATTGTCTCCAACCTTTAACAATATGCTATGCTATAATAACAACATATGCATATATACACTAAAGTACAATTATTCCCGATAACGTTTTGTTAGCTAATCCTAAGTGATCACGAACCTTGTGACTTAAACGATGGATTAATCTTTTGCAAGCACTGTAGTTTTTAATTATTGTAATTGAAATAAAATCATTATATCATTATATTTCCGTACAAGTTACATGAACCATGCCAAATGGTGTAGTCTAGAATAAAAACATATTTAATTTTTATTTAAAGCCTCATGTTAAAAGAGAGTTGAATACAGTTTCAAATTACACACATTAAAAAGACTATACAACTTTTCTTATGATTGGACCGGCATCCTTCTGAACTTAGGCAAACACAATCTTCAATAGCTACCTTGTTAGTCATTATGACTCACTTTAACACAAGTACAGTGTACCTAAATACAGTGGCGTAAATAACACCCCACAATCCTCGCATTCTGTGGGAGAGGGGGGCGCCGAGGTCCAACTGTCACCACTCACCGTAATCGTGAAAAAGTTGACGTTGTTTTTGTGACCGTGGGAGACAACGATGTCTTCAATTTCAAGACCGAAGAATATTTAATGATTTTGACGCAATCGCAAAAAAGGTGGCGTCGTTTCCGTGACCACTTGAGACGAAGATGATGCATGCATGACCGAAAAAGATATTCTGGATGTTGGCACAATCACGGAAAAGGGGGTTGTTTCTGTGACTCCGGGAAACGATGATATCTTCAAGACCGCGGATGCTGTAAAAGTGGTGATATTTTCGTGGGGGGGGGGGGGTCGCGAGTGCCATCCACATGTACTGTGGTGGGGTGCCGCTCAATTTAGACCTACTTGCACCACTGAGTAAATTATCATAATGGATTTAGCATGTTGTTTTGCTGATTTTAGCACATTCATTTGCAGTTCTGGACAGAGTGATTACAAGTCCCAGCTGTTCTATGTATACTCTGTGTTGTTCCTGGTGGGGCGGACGACGGCTGTGGTGATCCTTGCTGCTGCTATCCATGATGAGAGTAGACTTGTGGCTCCAGAGCTGTTCCTATGTCCTCCAGAAAGCTACTGCACCGAGGTACCAAAAATAATGATGTAAAAGCAATAATGCCAAAACCATGTTGTACACTTGTAATATATATTTACCTAACCCGCCATGTTAAAATTCCCTATCCCAAGCGTGATGTATAAAACTTCTTTAATTCTCGAGTGATGTAAAGTTGAAAAAAACTCCCTCGGTGAGGTAACGAAACCCCCATTTAAATAGTATTGAGTGCTTAACTTATAAAATATACCTCTATGGAGCCAACGACGTTCAACGCTAGAAATCAGCTGTGCGCTTGAATTTTATTTTTTTATGTTTTCGTTTTGAAGAATTTTCCTAACCTAGTTTTTGTTTGTAAATGAACGTTACTGTTAGAAGATGAGTGAAATGGATAATGAAAAATATTGTTCGTAACCTCATGTATATTGTCGGGTCAGGTAAAATAAAAAAAATAAGGGGAGATATGCACTTTTTCGACAAAAAATTTAATTTTTTTTTATTTGCTAAAAATATTCTGCATTTATTGTGATTCAGAAAATATATACATGTTTATAGTTTCCACTTCGGAAAATAAAATTATATTAAAATATATAAAATGTTGCAAGCCGTCTGCGCCCACCGTGAGGGAGGCTCACAGATGTACTTTGTTACATAACACCATTTGTTTGTTGCTATGTTAGCGAATTTCCCTATAGGGAAGTAGCTATTACCGTAGGTGGCACGGTAAGACCTAGACCCGGGACCGATTTACTTTTTCATTATTATGTCCCCAGAAGCCAAAAACACTATTCGTTCAAATTTTTATATATGTATATATATATATAGACTTATATATATATATATATAAGTAGATATATTCATGTCACTTCTGGGCCAAAAAAGGAGCCACTCAAAAATTAAATGAATTTTCCTATTTTTTTATACAATATGCTATATTTTTTACCCTTTTAGGTCAATTTCTAACATTTTCATATTTTTCTAGAAAAAGTATACAATTTTGATGAAATTTTCATGAATATGTCTATATTTTACATAAAATTGACTACAAACTGAAATGTTTTTAAAAACAAGTAAAATTTTAAAATTTAGTTTTTATACAAATTTAACTAAAACAGTTTCTTTATCTTTGAATGTTTTAATTTCAGTAATAATTAAGTTTAAATCTTTTTTATTTAATTCTTTAATTGTTTTTTCATCAAATATATTAATAAATCTATGAGGTAAATGAACTTTACATTTTTCTAATTCAACAATAATTGTTGGTCCATATTTATCTTTAACTTTTTCAAATTTTTCTATTTTATATTTTGTATTCAATTCTAAACTTTTTATTGGTTTATATTCTTTGAATTTACATTCTCCAATATTATTAATCTCTTCTAATAGATCCATTTATTACAAAAAATAATTATAGAAATTTTAATAATTGAAATATATGAAAAGAATTTTAAATATCACACAACAGTTTGTTAGAACTGTTGTGTGATATTTAAAATTCTTTTTTTTTAAATAATATCTGATGTATCACTTATGTTATCAGAAAAACCATTATGTTAATTTATTATGCATGGATCATTTAAAGTTGATAGATGTTTTAAGAATTTTAAAAAAATATCATCAAATTCTGGTTTTATATAAAAATTCAATTCTAAAAGTTTAAAAATCATTGGTAATAGTTTTTTAAATGATATATTTCTTTTTGTAAAACTGAAATATGCATTAAAAATTACTGTAATATTTCTTTTATCTTCAAAATTTAATTCAAAATCAATATTGAATATTTTGTTTAAGAATTGATAGTAAAATATCCAGTTTGTATAATTTCTTTGTTTTAAGAATAATTTTATATTTTTAGGTGTTATTTCAAAACTATTGTCTAAAATACATAATGTATAGATTTCATTGATTAATTGTTGTGTGCGATATGGTTGAAAATGATTAAATTCTCTTAAAATATTTATAAGATGTTTGTTCTTATTCTTTCGTTTATTAATCTTTTTTTCAGAACTAGTTTTTTTACATATATTACATCCTATATAATTTTTAATAATTGTAAAGTTATTAAAATTACGACATCTATAACATATATCCATTTATATATAAAATGTTTATATCTAAATGGAAGAACTTATTCAGTGTCATAAATGTAAGAAGAAAACTAAAAATATTAATCCAGAAATTGTTGAAATGAAGAATGGTTTGTTTAGAATTGCTACTAAATGTTCAATTTGTAAAACAAATAAAAGTAAAATAATTAAAAAGGAAATTAAACCAATAATAAAAAAAGAATTAAATAAAAAAGATCAAATAATTGAAGCTAAAGAAATTCATGCTCTAATAAGAAAAAAATTTCGAAAAAGAAAAATAGTTACATTAGGTATTGATGATTTATGGGCAGCTGATTTAATCATTATGAAAAATTATGAAAAAGAAAATGATGGTTATAAATACATGTTGAATGTTATTGATACATTTTCTAAATATGTTTGGTCAAAACCATTGAAGAAAAAAGATGGAAAACATGTATCTATAGCATTTGAACAAATAATTAAAGATTCAATAAAAATTGGCCATAAACCACCAAACTTATTACATACAGACAAAGGATTAGAATTTGTAAATAAAGAATTTAATGGAATTTTAAAGAAATATAATATTAAAATGTATCATACAGAAAATGAAGAAAAATCAAGTATTATTGAAAGATATAATAGGACTCAAAATGAAAAAATGAAAGTTTTATTTGAAATTAATAAAAATTTTAGATGGATTGATATTCTTAAAGAAATAGTTAAAGAATATAATCATTCATATCATTCAACAATTAAAATGAAACCAATTGAGGTAAATAAAGAAAATGAAAATGATTTATTAAATACAGTTTTTAAATATATCCCACCAAAAATAATTACAAAATCTAAATTTAAAATAAATGATAGAGTTAGAATAGGAAACAAAAAATCAACTTTTTCAAATAAATATAAAAACAATTGGTCAAGAGAAATATTTGTTGTTTCCAGAATTAATAATACAAATCCTGTTACATATAGTATTAAAGACTTGAATGATGAAGATATACTTGGTAGTTTTTATGATTACGAATTGAAGAAAACTAATTTGTAAAATTTTATACTATATAAATGGAGAAGGAATGTTCAAAGTGTAAACAATTAAAAAATATTAATAATTTTTATAAAAATAAAAAATATAAAGATGGATTACTTTCATATTGTAAAGAATGTGATTTAATTTATAGAAAAAAGTTATATGATAATATTATAGTAGAAGAAAAAAGTGAAAAAGTATGTTTGAATTGTAAGGAAACAAAAGATATGGAAAATTTTCATAAACATTATTATAGTAAAGATAAAAAATTTGCAATTTGTATTGAATGTGTTAGAAAAATGATGAGAGTCACAACCCATTGTGAATGTGGTAGAGATTTAAAATGGCTTAGTTATCTTCAAAAACATTTACAAACTAAAATTCATAATAAAAACATAAATAAATTAGAAAATTCATAAAAATAATATTAATTTTTGAAAGTATTATTTAAAAAAATTACTGGTTTTAAAAAAGTTTAAGTTTTATTTAAAATGTTTTATAATTTTTAAATTAACACATAAATATTTATCTTAATATTTATATTTTACAACAATAATTTTTTCAAATAAAATTATTCTTAATAAATCGTGCACATTTTTCTTCTAATAAATGGAGCGTACAAATAAAAATATATTATGCCCTTATTGTAATAAGAATATATTATCTAAAAATTATAATAGACATTATAATTCAAAGAAACATTTTGAAAATAAAACTAAATATGAAACTGAAGTTAATAACTTAAAACTTTGGTGTAAACAAAATAAAATAGTTGATTATCAAAACGAAAATTTAGATCAATTAAAAGAATTAAAGAAGTCATATGATCCAACAAATTATTCACTATTTAACAGTGAAAAATTAAAAGAAATTGCTAACAAATTATCTGTTAGAAATGTTGACAATTTAAATAGAGATGAACTAATTAAAAGATTAAATAATATCAAACAAAATCCTAATAATCTAAAATATAGATCATTACAATTTATTCAAAATCTATCAATTAAAAATGGTATTAAAATAAAAGATAAAACTAGAAAAGAATTGATTGGATTATTAACTGATCATTTAAAAAATAAACCAATTCCAAAGGAAAATGTAATAAATATTCAGGAAGTGTCATCATTAAAAGGTTATTTTCAAGAGTATTATTTAACAAATTCAAATGATGATTTAGATATATCTGAATATTTAGAATCACAAAGAAATGAAATTAAAAAATTGATTGAAAAACAAGAATTTAAAAATAAAAGAGGTCAGTTATCATTATCTTGTGAATATGAAAGACAATTAGTAAATGGTGATAGTCAAAAAACCCAAATGTATTATCCTTTAAGAAGTTCAGATATATTAAACACTGATGAATTTATTGATGATCAATTTAAAAAATTAATATTAAGAGAAAATTTAAATCAACCATCAAAAGGATCTGGTTGGTCATTAAAAAGATGTTTAGATTTAAATTTAAAACTAAGTAAACATAATTCATTAAATGGTGGTTCATATGTTGAATTACCAATTGAAATAAAAAATAAAAAGTGTTGTATAAATTTCAAAAATAAAGATGAATATTGTTTTATTTATGCAATTAGATGTGCTATTGATAAATATGAAGATAAAAAGTTTGATCATCCACATAGAGTAAAACAATATAAAAATTACTTGAATGATGAAATTTTTAAAGAATTTGATTATCCAATGAGTTTAAAAGATATAAAATTATTTGAAAAAAGATCATTTGATTCTAAATATAATTATCCATCCATGTCAATTAATGGATACAGATTTGATGAAGATAAAAAGATTGTTCCATTACAAATATCTGAAAATTACAATGCGAGATTAGATATTGATCTATTGTATATAAAAAATGATAATAATTCACATTATGTTTTGATAACAGATTTAAGTAAATTTGTTTCTACTCA